GAAAACGAAAACATTGGCTCGGGTAATATCACAGATCTGTAAATCAGCGATATTACTTTATTCCTGTGATATGCGAGGCTGATTAATTGCACAACCTTACCGTTTTGGGTCTACTAACAATTTATGGTATTTCCTAAATAATGCCATGTTCTTTTGTGTACTGTGGCGAGACGATTTCTAGGGTTAGAGCTGTTTTGTATGGTGCGGTGGATGTGTGCCCTCTGTGTTTTTCAAAGGAGGAATTTCATTCTTTTGTTTAAATGATCCTTTTCCCATCATGAGAAACCATAACCTTCTACAGGGTGTCCAAAAACAGGATCGAAGGAAACTCGGTCAATCTATGTGTACATATAGAAAGGAGAGGTGCCATCTAGATCTTGAACCATAGTTTGTAAGGTACTGTAACAAAATTCACGTTGAATGAACTAAATAATTCTTAAATTTCAAAGCAGAATTGGCCTTGTATTAGATAAATCATTGATGTACCTAAATATAGCATAACATTTTATGCGCTTGACATATAATTCATGAAATATGAATACATAACTATGAGAAATTATTATACTTTATTTCATTTTGTTTTAACCACTTTGGCTATACCCAATGTTATTAAGTGTGATATGTGGAACTTTTTTTTAATTTCAAAATGTTTTTGAAGTCGGACTTTTTGTTCGAAAAATTGTGAATTTATTCCAAACTAACGTTTAAAGCTCACATTGTCTTTAAGCGATAATTCACACCAATGCATTCATCCTCTGGTGTATTTTGCCGAAATTCTTTTTAAAAATCGGTTCATAAATAAGCGAGAAATGAACTCTTCAAGTTATGAAAATGGTTCAGAGAAAATGCATTTTAAATTTTAGCATAGAAACCACTGGTACAATAATATCTTTTAAACATAATTTAGTCCAATAACGCTAGGAAAGCTATTGAAAACGGCGCCAGAGAATCAAACTCTAAGATGTACCATTTCTTTTTTTACTTTTTAATGCCATGATATAGTGACACGATAATATTTACATGTTTTCAAATGTTTTCAAAAAAATTGTCCGCTGTGACGGAGCAGTTTTACAGTTCACATTTGTAACTGCTCCGACACACCGGACAAAATATTTAAATATTATCTTTTATAAAAAAAATAAAAAGACCCAATACATCAACATATCACTAATACCTTCATAGTTATGCTGAAAATATATTATGTAAATATTATCGTGTCACTATATCGTGCCATTAATAAGTTAAACAAGGAATGGTACATTTTGAAGTATGATACTCCGGCGCCATTTTCAGTAGCTTTGCCTCCCAGCGTTATTGGACTTGAAACAGAAGTGAACGTTACCCGAAAATGATATGTCCATTGCATGGAGTAAGTAGTTTTCTTTGGTATAACGAAACATTTGAGTTCAAAATAAATTGTGTTGTTTTCTTAGTGTTTTTATGAAAAATAACATGCTCCGTCACAGTGGACAAAACTTTCGATACCAGCCTGTGATAATAGCTGCTGTGGCATCACAGACTTTATGTTATATGTTATAATTATATAAGTCAGTTGGCATCATTGTAAGAGATGGTTTAAGATAAAGAAATCAGCGATTCATTTCATCAATTTATACTTGGGTATGCTATCTGGATATCGGGGCAGAAACAGAAAGGAGTATGCCCCATTGTGATCCCTGTCAGTGCGTTCCTAGACAGCTAGAGAGAAAAACAAAAAGAGATAATCTAATTTCTTTTTTGTGTGCTTTCCATGTATTTACGTTCAATTGGTGCTCCATCTAATTTGAGAAGGCAGCATTAACTGACATTGATTACAATATTGAGTTGCTAAATGAAGCACTCACGATGACATACAATCAAATCATTTTAGAATCGCAAAATTAATTTTGGATGAATTAATTGGCACATGACAGAACCAACTTCCTGAAAATATTTCCTTCCAGATTGGGCTTCATTGCTATACAGCAGCTACGGAATGAATTGAAATACCCTTGAACCCTTACCCTTCACTGGCGGATCCAGAAGCTAACAAGGGGGCATTTTTGATAATTTGGGCCAAACAATTTTTCTGGGCCCACAAAACGGGGGGGTGAGCGGGTCCCATACCCCCCCCCCCCCTTGGATCCGCTAGTGCTTTACCCTTGCAAAATATTTCCGTTTTAATAAGAACAGTCTTCAAGATTGGGCTTCATTGCTATAGCAGCTACGCAAGGAATTGAAACATCCTCGGACCTAGAATGGATAAGAGTGTCATTTTCAATGATTCTGTTAATATTAATGATGTGTTTCTTACATCTGTATTATACAACACAATCCAATGTTATAGCATAGGAGCAATACCTCCATGGGTGCTCAGTTATAACCCAGATGAATTGTGTGATGTCAAAATATTAATGAAAAATTTGTTTTAGCTTCACAAGAATGTATAATTCGGATCTAGGGACGGGTATGAAAAATCAGAAGTAGAATAACATTTTTAAGTAATTAGACTCCATCTTGCTCCATCAATAAGATCAAGACGAAAGGATTGGTATCAATATGATGAACTTTATTAAACCATTCATCAAAAGATTCTGAAAAATTTTCACATCCGGCAATTTAATGGTCATCTTTTGAATATATGGTAACAATATAATTTGAAATGTATATATATATACTTATCTCTATATTGTTTTAGAAAACACATCAGACACTTCTTCTGTTCTTGGTATCATAATGTTCCTAATAAAATGAAACATCTCTCCGAAGCTCATTGGAACAAAACGACATAAACAACGAGTTTAGGTCTCTCAATATTGTAATTGTACAAAGGAAAGTTGATTTTTTGAAAGTATCTTGTTAATGAAATAAAAGGTTTATCTTAATTTTTATCTATTTTGGGGGTTTTGTTATAATTTTTTGAATACTTTTTGTTAAATCTGACCAAATTTTCCTTTTAACTATATATTTCCAAATAACTATAATATTGAGAGGTCTACGAAAAGGCTGTATATGCTATTTAAATTCCAACAAGGCTCAGAAAGACATTTTATTTCATTCTCAAGAATTGGTAGAAAGGAACAAAAAACAATGGCACTAAAAAACAAAAACAATTATAGAATATATATTAAAAAATGTATTAAAGTGTTGTCAATCAGTCAACATTACATAAAGGACCGTGTATTTTTACACAATGTTTTCAATAATTGGTTTAAGAGAAAAACATGCCATTAACATGCAAAATGTCACCACCTGCCATTTGACCCAGAACGCCGAACAACAACCCTCGTGTGCCGAACACCATTCACAAAAAGTTGGATGTCACCATTTGTGCTGGTGTCACAAAAGACAAATTCGGTGACGCATACCATCTTCGATTTTAAAGGCGGTTAACTAAGAACACAAGTTGGGGCATCTGAAACCTTTTGAATCATATGGTTGACGCATCCTGGTTTGCAAACTGCTCGAAAATGCTATTTCACTGTTGTGGTCTTTGATGTTTCATTTTAAGTAAGGTTTCGTAAAAGGTCAATAGCATAATGAATAGTACAGCTAACGATACTGGACGTTGAAGGTGAATCTGACAATAACAGGCCAAGGTCACATATAAAGGTTAATATACAGGTAAAATGGCGGAATTATTCTTTTGAAAAATAATAACTTCAATAACCTTTTTGTTACTTGACACTTCCAATAAGGGAGTAGCTATATAGCTGAATAAATAGATGTCACCACTTGTTTGTATTTGTTCAGGCTGGGCCAGACTGCCATAGGCTTCAATGTTAAAAGTCACTTTATTTCATCATTTATCAAAAATAGTTGGTTGAATCTGTTTAAAACTCGAATGCCATACTATGGGGTGACCCTGTTAATGTACATATTGTGATAAATCATGAAAATCTTGTCGAACGAATAAACCAAGGTTTAAAAGAATTTTGACATTGCATCAATGGAGATTAGGCCCACACTTTTCTAGACTAAGTTGAAAAGAGATGAAAAGTGATGATAACTACACCTAAATCAAAGTTATTATTGTAGAAAATGTTTCACTGTTCACTGAATTCAAATATGCTTGGAAAAGTAGGTCATTGGAGGTGTAATTTGCAAATCTCTTCACGAGAATTAGCGAGATTTCAAAGCTATATAGAAACTCCTTGATGCAATATCAAAATTCTTTGTTGAATATTGATGCAACAAAAATTGGAAAAACAGGGGTGGAAGAGGTTGAAAATCAGGACAACATTTCAGAAAAAACATGTGGATGGGTTGTTTGCATCTTCCCTGTCTCAAAGTCAAAATTATTTTATATCATCTCTATGATTGCTTTTCCTGGAGATAATGCATTGGCCTAACATATGCACCTGTTTTGATCCCGAGAAAATGGCCAAAATCCAACAAATGACAGTCTGAACTCTGCTACCCGGTGGAGTTGCAAATATGAAGAGAATCTGTACACTAGTATTTGAGTTATCTTCCTGATGGGCGTGCGGACGGACGGACCGTACTGACGGACGGAAGGCTTCACTTTATCCCTATCGAACTTCGTTCGTTGGGATCATCATAACCACAAAGTTTAGACATCATAATCATATACCGTTGTGCATGATTGATTTCCTAATTTTACCCCTTGGAGTAGATCTGGATTAGACATGGGTCGAAAATGATTTTAATTATTTTATAGGTCTGTTACAATTGATTAGGAAATATAGACCGAAGAGCAGGGGTAATATTATCGAATACACCCCGCAGGGCTAGGCACAAACATTTTATGTACCCTGAACGATTGAAGGGAGTGAGGGACTATATTACGCTTCGAACATGAAAACTCGCCGAAATGTTTCGAATATTCATAATAGTCCGCCATTTCTACGACCCACCGTTATGACATCACACATTACACGTATTACCAGGGGTATTGATCGCGAATATATCCCGGGTGAAATTTTGTTTACAGTTTATAGAAGGCGTGAATACAGTCATGTTCGAATCGAATATATTGAATTCCTGTGCGTGGTAAAATAAGACGCCATAGTGACCGGCACTAACAAAGAGCTTATTCCATAATCATTGCCCCAGGGCATTTCATATTTCTATATTATTGTGTCACTCAGTAACAAAATGCGTCATTAATTTACACCATCAACACATCAAGCTCCTATAAATGAAGATGTTAGATGATCTAAAGATGATACAGCCGACAAGCAACCACAAGTTACTACGACACTCTGTCCCAGTGACAAGAAGCTAGAGACGCATATATGTCGCAGTATTCGAGGACCTAAAAAGTGATACAGAGAACCATCAATCGTAGCTCATCAACGCTTACCAAAAAACATCTACACAGCTTCCAACATGAATAAGTGGACAATTGTTGGTCAGATATTAATGATGGTTGTTGGTCTTGGAAACGGAAAATCTTTGGGAGAAGAGCTCTATCATTATAAACAGTTCATGGATCCCGTAGATACATGTTTGTTGGCCTGTTACACATGCCAAAATCTTTCGGTGAGTAAAACTTAAAATTAATTTTTTGATTTTTTTTAAATCGGCTATTAGCTATATAAATCATATTACCCAAAATAAGTATGAGTAATGTTACAAATGTAACAAAATTATTCGAATACTTTCTAAATTAAACTAAGACATTAAAAATGCCGGGTATAATTATATATTGATATCATAGAAAATGGAGTAAAATAGTTAAAGTATTGGTTGCCGATAGAACTTATTTTCTGTGCGTCAGTTACCAGTAAACAGAAAAGTATGCAATCAAAGGAGCACAGTGTTATATAGAGGAACACATTCATATTTTATAGATACATTTGTATATCTTGGATTGTGGTTTGGCTAATTAAATGTTTGGCCTCTAATATTTTGACGCTACATGTTATTTTTGTAATTTATCTGAAATATACAGAGAATCAAATAAGTCCCCATCCCTCTATAGCCAAAACCAAGATATTTGGTACCAAGTGTGATATATCATTGGAAATGTCTTCCAAAGTTACGTTGATTGGCATATATCTGACACATGTCAATCAATCTCACAATTTTTCACAATGTATCTATCGAGGGGACTTTGAAACTTTGGCTTTGAAACATGGCAATTTGGCAGGATTTTAAGAATCGGGTATAAGAAAGGTCAAAGGACCAAAAGATGACTAAATATGTATTTGGCAATGAATTTAACCAATTTCTGAATAGGGTTAGATGTGAAGAAAATAGAGGTGCAAGGAGAGTGGTGAAAACCCTTTTGTAACAAGTGGAATGCGAAAAGATTAACTTTTTGACGTATTTCTGAGGTCATATCCTTGTCATTTTGACGCAAAAGGCTGCTTAAAGGAGGGTACGTTAACTATAAAGGACATCATGAAAATATAGGTAAATTTCTTCCAAAAAACTTGAGAGTTGGTGAGTAAACATAGCTTTGGATGATCTTTCGAATGGTATATCACACAAGGTACCGTCTATTAAGTTTATAGCTGTAGCAAGGGGGGGGGACTTAATTGAAACCCTGTATAAATGTTTCCACCTAAAATATGAATATGGTTTTCTATATGATATTGTACTGTGCTCGTTTGATTGCTCATTTTTTAGGTTTAGATTTGATTGACGCACAGGCCAATATTGACTCGCATAATATAGACATTAACACCCCCTCCAAAAGTTTGGTAAACCGACTACCCTTAGCGGACTGCATTTTTAAGCCTGTTTGTGTTCGGTGATTTAGAAAATTCGTCAATAGCATCATCAATTTCCGACCTGATGTAATTGAGAAAAAGTAATCAGGATTTGATATGATATCAAATAGGAGCTAGGGTTGCCAAACTTTTGAAGGGAGTGTAGCAAATTGAATATATTTGCGCAATTTTAAGATACAAATCAAGCAAATCCAAAAATTCACTGCGCAGAAACTTTTTAATTTCATGAACTCGAGGAAATGTTCGGTAACCTTAAAAATTGAAAATAAAAATGATTTAATATCTTCTTTTCTATTGTTCCTCCAGTCCGACAATCTGATGACGTGTGCGAATCAGCTTTGCCTGTTTAACGTAGCAGTTGGACTCTCTATTCCCCCCATGTGGGTCAAGAAATGCCCCGAATTGCACAGTGTGAGCCTCGCAAGAAAAGTCTCAGAGATGCACAACTTCGAACAAGACTTCGAGCCATCCCTTAATATGATTCCACAGAACGAGGTCCCCAATGAAATTAATATCAAATAAAGGGAAAAGATCGATGGTGGACTCCAAAGCCGCTGATTGGCTTATGTAAATATGAGACTGGCTATTGATTGTAGATCGTTATCTATAATTTGTAATTATTTATATTGTTTTAAATTGCTGAATGCATGTTATTTTTACAAAAATCTATACTAAAGGTGACATGCAAGATAGAATTTGCGAAACAATCTGGGATGATATTTCATTCGGATTTTACTCTATCGACATACGATCCACCTCCCCGTATCACATCGAAACTTAATCTTTGTAAAAATAGATACAATGAACAACTTGATTCGTCAATAGTGACTTTGATACAAACTTTTCTTCTGTAAATATTGCGCTTTGAAAAAATGATTAGTGACTGTTAATCTCTTGTAAAATCTAAAAATTGTTATGCCGCTTAATTTACAAGGCGAGCAAATTCATTCAATCATAATATTCAATGTTTCACAACTAGTTACTTTGACGGAACGTCAATGTTACAAAATGGATGAACTTCCTGGTTACAAGTTTTTTTATTCTCGATTTAAACCTACTTATAAATCAAGCTGCAGATTGTAATTTGTCGCAAAGCTAGAAAATATAGTTTAGTTTTAATAAGTTTCTTCGATTTGGAATTTGTTTTCCAAATGAAGTTGCAATTCATATATTTAGCACATCGCTTTTGTTACATTGACGAAAGTTTGTTATATTACCAATGTATGTTACTTTGACGAATAAAGTCAATGTAACAAAGGCGATGGTCTAAATGCATGAATTACAGCTTTATTGAAAAACCAAATTCCAAATCGAGAGCATTTCTAAAAGCTAGACTTTGTTGTCTAACTTTGTGCCAAATAATAATCCGCAACATGACTTATACGTAAGTTTAAATCGAGAATACAAAATACTCGAATCCAGGAAGATCATCCATTTTGTTACATTGACGTTCCGTCAAAGTAATTAGTTGTGGAACAGTGATACTAGTATTTAAAGACAATAATGTTTGTATCGGATTCTACTGAGGTTGCAAATTGCATCTGCTGTTATGAATCTTAAAAAATATAATAGAAATATAGGCACTGGGCCACTCAAACAACGACTTGGTGTTTTCGAACTTACACTTTTCGTGACGTTTTTTCATGTTACATTCCCAATCTGGACTCTGAAATTAGGTACCAGTACGATGCCCGAGTATGCACGGTATATATCAAATTGTGCTGTATGGTATCGTAGTTGAAACAGCACTGTGACATGGTGCCGTTGCGGATTGGCTGTGTAATGTTATAACTAGTATGACAACTTCAAAACAGAATTCATTCTGTAAATAACTTGATACGTTTGAAATAATCCTTTTAAAATAGTAATCAATGGCATTGCTAAAGCAAACACTACTTTTAGCATCTTAAAGTGATAGTATTCGTTTCAAATTGTAAAATGTATTGACTATGATATGATTATTATAATACAGAAGTAGCCATTATTTTGAACTTAGAAACACATCACTGGTCAGTTCATGATCAAGTAACGGCCGTTACCTTCGCATTAAAGATGGCGGACGGAAAGTGTCGATTTCGATATGTTTAGTTTTCATCGAATTAAACTCATTTATAGTTGGTATAGTTTGATATTTGAACTAGATCAGGCTAATGTGACATGGAAACTCTGGAGTATGATAATTTGTTCATAAACCATACGTAGGTACCACAGTTATATCTTCCACCACTGAAGGGAAGGTGATTGGGATTTTGTTTATACAAATGACAGTGTGAATGACAGAAATCGTTGAAGTCTGGGGCCCACGCACGATTTATGAATAATTTATCATACTCCAGAGTTTTCATGTCGCACAAGGTTGATTTAGTTTAAATATCAAAGCATTTTACGTCGATGAAAACTAAAAATATCGAAATTGACAATTACCGTCCGCCATCTACTTAAATGCGACGGTAACGGCCGTTACCTTCGCCTGATACTGTCCAGCGCATATGAGATACAAAGCTTGACCATTACCGTTTCAATTAAAAACACAATGCAAATGAATGCAAGAAGTCAATGAACATCGTGTTTAAATCTCCATTCACGTTGTCGTCCGAACAAGGAACGGATTGGATGGACAGATTTCTATATACTAGACGCCTCGGTTACATTTGCTCTACGACGACCGAACGGCGGCCATAGCTTCACAAAATCGATATAGAAAATATCGTACTGCATATCCTTATATTTTATGCAGCATATTTTCCTCAATTTTGGGAAGCTACGACGGTAGATCAAATGTGATTGAGGTATCTACTATTCAAACCATTGGCCTTCAAGAGAAACCACATGCAAACCTAATAATTTCAATATATTCCACTGCTTTACGGACGATTGGTCTGATAACGCTAAGGTAAGAAGAGGTGCATCCAAAGTAAATGACTAAATGACCTAAATACTAGCCTTAACTTGTGTAATAGAATCATGATGAAAACGGATGATCGTGATTCTGTAGATAAGTCAATGTCCAGTTTTTGTGTCCAGAAATATCGGATACCTTGCAATGTTGATAGACATCAAACCAGTGGTCCAAATTAGCAATTTGATTTACACCTAAGTTACGATTGACGTAATCACATATCATACATAGTGTTAATGACTTCGTTCTTAAACGAATGTTATTTGTCCATTTCCATTCAAAATATTTTTCATATTTGTCGTTGTTTTGATCCAACATGTTAAGATATTCAGAGAGTTCCTTGAATGAGCTAAACGTGTTAATATTTATGTAGGAGTTTGGTGGTAATAGTCGTTTGAAATCTGTCATCTCGCCAAAGATAACTGGAACCATGTTGTTTTTGAAAGCGTTCTCCCACACCTTCTCGGTAATGTAGTCTTTACAGTCGGAATTTTCAAACGCTAGGTAGAATTTGTAAACACGACCTAGAAAGACAAAATTGCGAATAATTTGTTTATTATTGCTTATCATTATTATAAACAATGAGTCTTGGGGATTGGAAAAAATAATGGCCAAAAATAAAACACGGTTCATTCTATTGTGTTGCTACCTAAGCGTGGTTTTAATGGTCCTAAACTGCCCTGTGTGTTTTTTTGTTTTGTCAATATTTAACCCCTTGGATCAGTGACCATCTTGCATATGTATACATACCTAAATCTTCTAAGCAACGGTCGTCATCACGACAAGGTCTCCCACATTTCCCGTAAACGTCCACGTTAACGTATTTCTTCATATCATTCACCATGTCCTCTCTCTGGCTGAACGTGTTGCAGTGGCTCACCAGCTGAACCATCAGTTTCCTCTTCTGCTTTAACATTGTCCGAGTTTCCATTATCTTCTGTGTTATGACTGTTTGGTTTGGACGGGGAAGGGGTTCGGTCCAACCGTATGGAATAGTTATATCGTCGTCATAACTATAACTCGAGGTTATGTTTATTTGACCATCTAAATGGTATTTAAACAGGGGTAATCTAGTCCCAGAACGAGTTTTCGGTTCTTGGGTCATCAGGAGCCACTTCTGATGCGGGGGATGGTATGTGGGTAGAGGGTGCTTGTGCTTTAACAGCTCGGGTAGATCCTGGACGTGAAATATAACTACATCACTTTGGTTGAATAGGCTCTTATCACTCACAATTTTGCAATTCTTGTAAAAACAAGTCTGTAAATCTTCATTATGTCTCATCGGATATGGCCTTCCGTGAAATTGTGTCCAATGCAACATGATAATATCCCTAGAGGTGATATTATTATTAGAGACGTTGTTAATGTCCTTTCTTATACGCGTTGCTTCTAGCGCTCTCAGTTTATGGTCCATAGAGTCCGGAACACTAAGCTTTAGATTGAACTGACGCTGCATGTTTATCTGAAATATTCCAGCTACGTGGAAAAGCAACACCATCGACAAAACAAGGGGCGTTAGGTAAATCAAGTAAGCTGAAATAAAACATATGCGAATTAAAAAACAGAATTTATCTCAAATTATGGTATCTTATGAAAGGATCAATGTATATCTGTTTACAAGACAAATATGATCAGATTTTCAGATTTTCAAAGTTGGGATGTGCATTTAGTCTGTCCAACTCCAATACAATTTTCCCTGACTTTAAAAAGGGAGTAGACAACATAGAAACTGGCTGGTAGTAGTTGTTATAAAGAAATAACAGGCGAGGTGGTTGGATACCCTGACACAATCATATTGCATATTTTGAATTTTTGCAGTTTTGAGATACTTTATTTGAAATGGTATCATTGCAGGCCCGTAGCCAGAATTTTCCAAGGGGGGGGGTTCACTTTTCCCAAAAAATCTAGGGGGTTCACTTTGGCAAATTTGGCCAAAAATAAACACTCAAAAAATAGTCAGAATGGTGAAAAACTGCATGATTTTGAAAGATTTTGAAAGGTTCACCCGAACCCCCCAACCCCCCCCCCCCCCCTGGCTACGGGCTAGATTGGTTGGTTACTCCCATATATATATTTATGTAAGCTATGTTACGTCTCAGGTTATGTATGTGACCAAAGAATGCTACATGTATGTGACAGTGGATCGCTATGTAATCTGTTACATCAGTATGCTATGTCATCTCTCTGACAACTTCTGATTCCAACTTTAATATATCTTTGAGTTCCCTCTAAGGAGAGAATACCTTACTAAGTTTTACCTTTCAACTGATATAATCTCATGATGACTTTCCTCTTACTGTAAATACTTTCCATATCGCTATAAATTAATCATTGTAATAGTGTATCTAATTGCTCCCCATCCTTTCACAGGTATGTAGTCATTATCTTCTTTGACTAAAAGCTCTTAAAATAAATCAGAACTAATACGAAATCAGAATTATCACAATAATTATATTCATGTCCCAATTTCCTGGCTCTTATTAGTTATATTATTGTCATTCTCATCCCATTTCAGTTATCTGAATGTATTTGTCAATTTTCATTCCGTGGTTTCATTTTCTATAGCCTATTGATTTTTACGTCACCTCAAACAGTTTAATGAATTTGGAAAATAAAAAGCATTGTTACTGAACCGAATGCAATTATTGTGTACAAAAATAAACATGTGTGACTAAATTGGTCACCAGTATAGTATGAGTCAGTATGACATTGTGAGTTTAGACGAGTTTAAATCAATTCCTATTATTGATTTGATAGTTTTTGGAGGTTTACTTTAGTAACCATGGTAACATTGTTGGAATACGTGTGCCAAGAATCAAGCTAAAGGATGAAAAAATTGTTTGTGCAATATTCTAGACTGTTTAGGGGAGCACTGTCAGATCTGTCTACCGTTGGACGACCTTTCAAAATAGCTAGGCATGTGGTACAAAAACACATGAAACGACACAAACAATTAGTAAGTGTTAATCAAAATCTGGAAAATGTAATATCTATTAATCAGACGATGTTTTTATTGAACCCTGCAGATGACATCATAAAGTAGTAATACACTACAAAGGGGCATCACAAACACCCATTTTCGGTAGTGACAGATAAACCCGATTGCTCAATACAATTATGTTCATGCTTGAATCAAAATAAAAAGAAAACAACCCTCACCTACCCAAACAGACTTGTATTTCAGATTACCTTGGTATTTGAGATGACCTTGACATTCCAGATGACCTTGGCATTGGGTGACCTTGACATTTCAGATGACACTGACATTTTTAATGACTGATATTTCAGTTGACTTTCTGATTTCAGAAGACATTTTCATGTCAGATGAGCTGGACATTTCAGATGACCTTGACATTCCACATGCGCAGGACATTAGGGAGTTTAAGCTTGCAATGTTTTTCACAACCTCATTTGTGTGGGCGATTGGTCATACGTATATGTTGGCCTTTCGATTTTAAATGAAAGCTTAAACTCCCTATGCACAAATAATGACCCTGACCTTCAAGAATATTAAGAATTTGAAATAAAATAAACTGAAATCATTGTTTTACAGTTCTTATATTAATAGATGAGTATTATCCGTTCCTTGTTTAATAAATTTTCCATTTCAATATAACTTTGGATGAAATTTACAATGGTACATAACATTCAAGTCTGAGATGTTGGTATAAATAAGCTAAAGGGGGGGAGGGGCGTTTTTATAAAGTGGACACCCTGTATTCAATATTCCATTATTTCACTGAACAACATGCTTATTTAACTAAATAATTATGGCAGGCATACCTTTCTTAAAAATTGGAAAGCATTTCAACTACAACTTAACCATGACTATGGTCTTAAATTTTCTTATATATTTATTACATATAATTAAATCTTTCTACATTGCTATTTACATCAATCCTATATAGAATGCATTGGAATGTCCTTGGTCTCATATAAGGTACCTCACTCATGTGGATAGAGAATGGCATATTAATGTTTCAAAGTAGACAAATTATGCTACTCTGTTTTGATGGATGCATTATCTAAGGACTTATAATGGCTTTCTAACTCCAGGTGCTAATAACGACATAAACCCTAGAGTGTACCTTAAATGTAAAAGCTATTGCACTGCGGCTTTTCTCATATGTGAATCAATCAATTGTCTGATTAATCTCTCACAGGAGAATCTTATACTTCTCAGCTCGCGGCACTCTGTTTATAACAAGACGTCCATCGTAACTTAATGAGGCAAAGAGCCATGGATCAGCGGTACTCCATTCTACTGCATAAACGCTGTCTTCGTGTTCCTCATATGTTACAATGATGCCATCTACACTTGGTTCACGGGACCTGAAAAAATATTGCGATTATTACAGTCTGTTATACAAGAACATCGCAAGCAAAAATCATAAATTAAAGTATTGAACTTTAATTATAAGGCTTTCCATATTAAAAACAAGATAAATACCATGTTTTTTATCACCCAGCCCAAAACTTAATCAGATCTTGCAACCAGCTTGGTATTGCATCTCTAAAAATTTCAAGTTGAACAGATTTTCCTGGAATTTTGGTTAAAAAATTTATGTGGCATCCATTTGCACAGACAGACAGACATACACATGCCCAACAGCGCAAGTTGACAACAATGTAGGAGTTTGAAATAGGCTATAGTTCAGACAACTCAACAGTGGGTTGTTATTTTGCGACGAACTAGCTAAAAACAAGTTAATACTTTGTGGGGGTGTACAGGTCAGTTGCTTATAAAAGATTTTCATAATAAATCAAAATATTGCAAAACAGAATCATTTTGTTATTGTTCATGATAATAAACAATATATTGGTTGTTGTTGTTGCTCAAAAAGAGGGTGAACAACCCAGAATTAAGAAATGAAAGATGAACCAAGAGAATCCTGATGTTGGGATAAAGGAGAGTGGAAGACTAGATAACCGCAGCGCCAAAGCATAGCAAATCCAATGGAACAGCCATGGCTGCCATTTTTACAAAATCGTACTACTTTTTCACTTAAAGCAAAAATCGTTAAATAACACACAAAGAATTAAATGGTCGCTCACCAGACAAATTGTCATAAGGAAGTGTAATATACTTATGAGTATTCACGTATCAAATACGAACAAAATTGCTCTATTACCTTTTGAGTTATTGTAAAAATTGTAAAATAACACAGGTAAAAATGCTGGCCACTTCAAAATGGCCGCCTTCTAGCCAAAGTGTCATTAGACAGTGTGCAATGCTTAAATGTATTCACATATCAAATATGAACAAAATCGCTCCATGTTTTTTTAAGTATAGTAAAATAAAAAAAAACATAAAATAACACACATAAAAATGGCGGCCATTTTCAAAATTTCACTAATTTCAAATATCAACAAAATCGCTCCACTTCTTTTCAAGTAACAGCAAATGTCATAAAATAGCGAGTAAAGGCCGTCATTTTCAAGATGGCTGACATGTGTTTCTTAAATATCAACATTTCTGGCTTTGTTATTGCCCTCTAACTGTATAACCTTTTTTACATTAAATCATATTTCTATTACAGTTTTATATATTGTACTTAACTTACTGTAAAATCAACACTAAAATTGAGGAATATTGACTCCCTCGATCTGACGTGCATGGGTTAAGTGCTGGTTATCACTACCTAACTTGCTAATTGTGAATTTTTGTATACAGAATTTTTTATTCATAAAAATATTTAGTGTAGTAACAGCAATGTGAAGAGTTTATTTTATCCATGAATCTCATGGTTTGTAGGTATAGTAAGATTAGTTTCTTAGTTTGTGCGTACATACACGTAGGCTTATGTGTCATGCTTTGATACTTTTGTCAATAAAAGAAATATATAACAAAGAAATAATTAGTTTTGGCTCATTGAAAGGCTTATAGTTGTAATTCTTGCTCATCCTAAATAATAACCCTAAAACATTTTCAATTCAATATATGTAACATACACGATCAATAGACATAGACATAAGCCTTCTTTTCTGTAATTCTGGAGGCTTGAAAAAACTGCTAATGTACATGAATTAATTGTCTTTTAATATCAAGAGTTAGGACGTGTTTCAAGAAAAAGTTTATCAATGACATCATAGGGCAGGGGTTTCATTAGCAGCAGGCAACAGGCGATTTTCACTGATTGTTTTCACAAAATCACCTGTTGTTTTTAGGGACATTTCAACTTTTCCATGTTAAATTTATGATTTCCATTAATTTTGCCTGTTGTTTTCATTTATTTAGCCTTTTGTGAGAAATTCTAGTGAAACCCCTGTAGAGTTATAATACTGTGTTGAAAAAAGTAAAAGAAGACGAGTAACTTCAGTATAGTTTCTGTTAACTGATCTTATGTGTAATCAATAGGGGTGAGACGAGTCGAAAAAATCCGATTCGAGTCGAATCCGATTCGAGTCAGAAAATGACGATTCGAGTTTCGAATCCGTTTCAAGTCGCGAAAGTGCGAACAACATCGCTTTTGACCGTTCGTATTTTTAATGCGTCAATGGTGGAAAGCCGGAAATATAAACAAACACAATTCGTCGTAAGTTTATTCTGATTTTATTACATATATTCTTTCATTTATGTGTACATACAATATAATAATTTAATACAAGCATATCCAAGTCATTGAAACTTATATATACAACGCAATATCGAGTAAAAACATGCATATTGACAGTATTTTTCTGAATTTTTTTATTTTTTCAAATTTTTTTCTCAACTCGAAAATGATTCGATTCATCAACTTCGACTCAATTCGACTCGACTCGAAGCCCCAAACCCGCGAGTCCTCGACTCATCGGGTTGTCGTCTCACCCCTAGTAATCAACCCGGTAGAGCAAAATTTGATGTAACTAAAATATCAATGTTATATTTACTTATTGTGATCATCATTTTCATCATCTTTGTCCTCATTAGTGTCATCATCCTCCACCAGATGGCCAAATGGTTCAGATGATATGGATATAGTGCTCGTTAAATTCACCCGACTATCGCTACTAGAGGTGAGAACAAGTTGATCGTGGAAATGATTATAACGAACTGTCCAGATCCTGAAACGACAATTTCCAAAAGTTAACCAGGGGGCAATTAACAGAAACTTCATAAAGTTAAGAATTTGTAAAGTCCATTGTTGTTCTCTTCCTGTGACCTCATTCTACCATGGTTACAACAATTGATTTACGAATTCGTAACTTTATGAAGTTTCTGTTAATGACCCCCAGTATCATTAAGACGTTGCAGAAAATGGAATACAACAGGGTGTCCCAGAACTCATGATAATTTTCTGAGGGAGGTATACAGCATTGGTCCATTTATTTGAAACTTGCTTCATTGGATAAACCTATAAGTTGAGGAACATGTGTCTTGGTTTTCAAGCATTTAGCTGATATATTTTTGATTTTATTGCCACGTGATTACAACTATTCTCATGAGTTCTGGGACACCCTTTATGTATTCAAATATGTAATTGGTTATCAAGGGTCCATGGGTCCACGTTCCACTAGTGTGAACCTAGGATGAAGAAAAAAACCAATATCATTGATTTCAATAGAATATGGCAATTTACTTCAGAATGATTTCATACAAATCAAGTAGGATTTATAATCAGGGAATTCAGACTGAATAAATGAATAAGTATTTAATACAATCTATCCAGTTCTTCCTCCTCGTGTTACTTGAATATTTTCTGAGCCCTATATAATAGCAAAAGCTGAGATACAATCTAAAAATATTTGTGAGGCAAAATTAAACTGGTGAGGCAAATTTGAGTAAAAGGGAAAACATTACCATCATAGGACTTCATTTTCACAGTTTCAACTGAATTAACTATTTTCTACAATGTATTGGCGAGGCAGTTACTTCATCTGCCTCATGTTTTGCTACAGACTAGAGGTGTCACGGAACAAAAAAAACTTGAACGGTCATTTCTAAACATTTGGTTTCAGACCGAATTAGATTATTTTTACTGAGTCACAGTAAGTTGAACGTCTAGGTCTATCTGGTAGCGAAATTTGAAAGAAAAATGCTGTTTTGTGGCGATTTGAGGGCAAAAAGCTGTGAAAAAATAGATTTTCTTTTTCAAGAACTGAACTGTAATGTTGAATTTTTGTTCCATATTCTGTGAGCCTAATTCCGAGGGTCAGAACACAATCAGGTATCCAATGACACCTATAATACTAACCAGTGCGAGTGGTCTGAAAGAGTCTTCACAGGTTGGCTTGTATTACGTATGTCCCAGAATTTGGCTTTACAATCATCCCCACACGTGGCTAGGTAGTACTGTTTATTGGGGTTGAAATCCAAGTCCCTTACAACTTGGTTATGAGCATTCTCTATATGGTATGCCTGTCTGAAAATAAACCACAAACTTGACTGGAAGGGCAGGTGTATTTAGAGTTTAATTAAGAAAGTATTAAGAATGAGCATTTAGAGAGACAGAACTAGTAATTTGAGTGCAGTGGTTTATTTCGTCTGATTACAGCATTCAAATAATCATCTTCTTCATAACTTGTTTTACTAACTAAAACTGTAATTTCAATTTACATTCATTATCAACATATAATATTCAATATCCGTTGCATACCTCAACAAAATAACATTTTATTTTTTATTAGTAGTAATATTACATACATTGTACATTCAATACAATATACTAATCAGCTTCATATCCTTCTGGATATAAAAAGCATTTCAATTTCAAATTCCATTTCCCTACTTACTCATAACATACAGACTTGCTTTAAACTCAAAATGCTTATTACAAAAAGATCTTCTTAAAACTCAAGCGTGTGCATGATACTATGAAATGATGTAGAAATAGAAATACACAATACAGGTTGCCTATTGTGCAGGGGTTTCATTAGCAGCAGGCAACAGGCGATTTCACCGGTTGTTTTACAAAATGGCCTGTTGTTTTTAGGGTCTTTTCAACTTTTCCATGTTAAATTTATGATTTCCATTAATTTTGCCTGTTGTTTTCATTTATTTAGCCTGTTGTGAGAAATTCTTGTGAAACTCCTGATGTGCATTCAAAAGATGAGAAGGAAAGCAAGCATAATTCATAGTTGACCTTGACATTACCTCTTCAGTGCACAACTTTCATTTTGTGCAAAATTATGAATCATCCATTTTGTTTCTTGTCAATGCACATGACCAATAAATATTTTTCGACCAATCAGCAATGACTATATGATGTTATTTAGTGAAGTTGTGGACCAATAAAATAAAATTTATCTTTACTTGGTACAATGGGAGGTTGTCCCCTCGCTTCACATTTGGATAAAACATTTAACATGTATGTCAAGTATATATGAACACCCTTGACTTACTGCATGGTGCGTAGATCCCAGCCTTTAATAGCTGTGTCATTAGCTGTTGCTATTTGTGTGGAATTGTGATGTGGATTCCATCTCCCACATGTAAACTTAGGATGACCCTTTCCTTCGAGAGCAGTGGATCGTGAAAGCTTGAATTGAAAAACAAGAACACACAGTTATATATCAGGGGCGTAGGAAGGTTTAAATTCAACACTACGCCATAAGATGAAACATATTGTGTCAAATCTTCTTTATCAAAACGCCTATTTTATGCTTGAAAAACGTAATTTATGGCAAAACCTTTCTAATGTGCTTAAAATGTTCGAATGTTTTCATTATATAAAATCACCATGGAAAATCTTTCTTAAATCTTGACACGATCATTGTCACTTTTCTAATGTAAATGTTATTTTTCTTGAACGATTAAGACGACTTTCCAGATAACATCATAGGCGTAGCCAAGGGGGTGCGATGGGTGCATCCCCCCATAACCAATTAAAATAAAATCAAGGGAAGAACGGAGCTTTAAAATGCTTTTTATTTGAAGCTTCAAGCTCAATTTTGAAGGAAATCAATTTTGTAAAATTCAAATAAATCTTATTTCTGGCTTGTTGTTGCCACAATCGGAACCCCCTGAATGAAAACCGAAATTGTTTTGGCGATCGCATCCCCCCCTCCCTGATCAAAAACTGGTTACACCCTGAACATTGAGAGATTTGAACCATTTTTGAATAGTTGAATTTAGATGGATATAATTGTCTGATTCCATCGTGTACACATGCAATACGACAATGCAGATTAGAGAAACTAGTATGATCAATCGATTTAGAGAAACATATTCGTGATCAATGATACAATTAACCCAAATGTCTGCAACCTTTTTATAACACTTAATCGCAAGACCAAATATCCCCCTCTCCAAAAATGCCAAATCGAGGTAAACATGACTTAGGGGGTGCCAAAAATGCTATATTTCCTTAAATAATAATCTTTCAAATGAAATAAAATCCAGATAATAGCTTTTCCAAAACTGAAATTGTACTTTATTGACTTTCAAGGATAGGATGTCTCGCCAAAACTCATTGAAATCAATGGAAAGCGAAATTGAATAATCAACAATTTCAAGTTGTTTTTGTCTTAAACATTCATATTTCAAGATAAGTGATTCGGTAAGAAAATAGATAAATGTTGTCCAAGCATTTCGGAACATGCAAAAAATTGCAAAGGCATTCATCCATGTCATCAGGTAGAAGAAAAAACTTTCTTCTTTCAAATTCGTATTAGAGAACGTGACTCACGAATATTTGGCGAAATTGTAGTTTACTTTTAAAATTCATAAGATAGTCAATAGTGTCTTGATTTTTATGTTGAAAAGGGAATTCAATCTGTTCAAAGATTATTTACCAAACAGAGCAATAATGATTACTTTGCATTTTCTACAGTTTGAGGAACAAGGCAACTTTCAATATCTTAAAACTTATTCAATATTATAGTTTCATTTCTCAAAAAGTGTCATTTATCTGTGCCCAAATTGGAAACATAAAAGAGGCACAAAAACCTTGCAAAAGAGTATTATTGAAGCATCGAGCATAATATATGGTATCCAAAAAAACATTTTTTAGGCTAGGGTGCTTGAGATTACTTTTACAACTTATGCACAATGAGAAAATACCACTGAAGAACATAGGAAAATTAATAAGCCTTTTTTATTTTCATTTTTCAACACTACGCACTGGCGTTTGGCGTATATTGTTCCTACGCCACTGTTTATGGTACGGCTTCTGGTGGGGGAAGCCATTGGGTATGCAGAAGCTAAAGAAAATAAATTGTGTCCTTTATGTGGAGAGTGTGAAACATTAATTCATTTTATAAAGGATTGTTCTGAACTTAAGAGTCGTCGATTATTATTAAAACCCCTTATTGACAAATATGGGGATGGCGTATTGCCCTTTATCTTCGCTCCAGATGAGCAGGATGACTGTATATTTATTGTTAACACTTTGTATGCGATGTACCAACATCGAACAAACGCCATTTTGTAAATATCATCCCGACCTTGTATTGTTCACCTTAATGTTTGTATATATGTTAACATAAAATAATGTATATTATGATGATCAATTATGGTCGCAATAAAGAAATATATATATATATCACACTGTAAAGAGTAAAATAGCCACCATTTCATTCTGATTTATCAGAGTCCCTCTTTACCTAACGCTTTTCTGAACTATTCCAAAAGGATAGTAAAGGCTGTGGATCCCACAATGCCATCATTTAGTTTAAGCCTGCTTGCAATTGTGATGACTATACAAGTTGTATATATAATGAACAGGATTAAATTTCTGATTATCATGTTATTAGGTAGGAGTAATCAATAACACATTTTCTACAATTTGTAAAATTAAATGCTATAGTTAAAGCATTGTGGCAGGAAATGGCCTGTTTCAAATGCTATTATTCTGCTCTCATCACAATGATGATAATCTGTGCAAATCAAACTGTGAACATATGGGTCAATGGACGAAAGACTATCATTACGCATTTAAACTGTATGTTTGACCTGGATCACCCTTTAATAAATAGACATCATTGCAGATCTGTGTCAAAATACCTATGCTACGCCACTGAGGTTAACCACCAGCATGGACCACAATAAAACTGATGAGTGGGTGATTCCATAGACTCCCAATAAAAGGTGTGAATTAATTAACTCGGAGGGAAGTGGGGTTTCCTGGGAGAACATAATAGAGATATCAAATTAACTCAGGTGATTCATCAATTTATATAATGAATTCAGCAATAACACTTAATGTAAGTCATTGTGATGATGAATCCACCTCCAGTTTGCATAGTTGTTTATTCATCAATTATATCAATGTTCAGTGTACAGGCAACTGACACCCATGCGGGTGTATATAGTTACATATGATTATATTAATTGAAATTATTAATTGATTGTATTAATCAAGATGACAAGATATAAAACTGTTTTAAAAGATAGAAACTTAGGAGAAAAGTAATAGAAGAGAAAGAAATATACATATATATATAAGCACATATAGCTAAATGTTATACGGATCAATTTAATACTTGTCCAGGTAATACTTTTTCAAATCTGACTTAAATTTATTTCTAGAATTCAGATGTTTAAAACTTTCAGGTAATTCATTCCATGTTGTTTGTCCTATGTATTTAATGCTCCTTTGTCCAAATGTGGATTTAAATTGATTTAAATCTGATAGAGCCCATGCTCTAAGATTGAATCTATAATGTGTCCCTTGTTTAGGTCGTTTGAGACATTTAAGTACAAAAATACCAACATTTAGCTTATGAATATCTCCTATTAAAGTACATGTATCTTTATTTTCTTAAATTGTAGAGAGGAATCGTCTGTTCTAACACTGTTTGTAATTAGTCTTAAGAATGTTTTTTGTACTTTCAGAATTTGAAACAATAGAGCTCAGCTTTAGTTGCTGTTCCCCAGATAAGAATACAATAATTTATATGGCTATATATGAGAGAGTAATAAATAGACATCATTGCAGTGTGATTTATCTTATGTTTGACCTTGTAAAGAATTCCTACTACTTGTGAAATTTTGGTGAGAAAATGAGAAAATCTGAGGCATACACTCATAGAAAAGTGGTCATTTTCATAACATGATCGTTTCAAAGAATATCAACAAATTGTTAGATATTTGCTCATATGTTGACACTGTATTTTATTTTAGTTGTGAACATATATGTATATTTGATTAATCAACAAGATTAGTATCATACTTTTTTATAAAAAAATTTGAAATGGCCACCAAGTAATTTGGTCGGCACCATTTGGTCTTGGCACTAGTCTGTTCTTGCAATGTGAACATGTCAAGTTGAACAGGTAAACAGTTTTCTGGAATTTTGATGACAAGATTTATGTGGCACCCACCCTGCACCTAGTCTATATCCAATAGACTGAATTACTTGAGAATTCAGTCTATTGATCATTATGTCTCTCCTGTGGGAAAAAACAGGAAATTTCCTGCACACGATTATCAATTTTAGGGAACTTCACTTCCAAAAAATAAGCATTATAACAATTCAATTAAGTAGTAAGGTACAATTAAATGCTATAAAAAGTAACACAGCATATTGTCAAATGGAAATAAAGCTAGGAGAAGTAACAAATATGCAAATTAATTTACCCAGTCGGCCATTTTGAATGGCACTTCCTATGTAAACAAATAATTTTTAATCCCACATTTTAACATATGTGGGCTATAGCCTGAATATTTTCATTCCAAATTTCAAAAAATTTCAGACTAGAGGATATAGTCTAACCCTGCACCCAACCAACTGCCCAGCTAGTGATCTGCGGTATTGCTGGAAGTACCGTTACGGTGGCATTCTGGCCTAATGTCGGCACTGAAATTCCAGTACCGGACACCGGAATATCTAAAGAATCAATTAAACTTACCAGAAATTGCAAGATTAAGTGCGCCACCTGGCGAGCGGAAGAACTTGTCAAAAAATGAAAATATATTTTTTTCAATTTGAGGAATGACTACGTTAAATAGCTGGCTGTAGATGTCTTAATTCAATGCAGAAATTATCGATAATCAGGTAAGACATTGATAAATCATGACAATAAACTGTGTTTGTATGAAAGGGACCAAATTCACCACCAAAAACTTTGGCAAAATCTAAACTCAGTCACAGAAATGTACGAATTCGCGAACATAGACCCAAAACCGCAGTATTCGGTAACGAATTGCGGTGATACCGGCACCAGTTTTCACTACCGTTTGGAACACTACTGCCCACCTGCCAAGACGAACGGACAGATGGACGGACGGATGGACAGACAGACAGACACAATCAGGCAGACAGATGCATACAGGTTCCATAGCGCACAAGATGACAACAATTAAGAAGCGAATAGTTGTTATTTGCCATAACTAATACTGTATTTACTGGGAAGATAGATGAATGACTGAGAGATCGTGCTGTGACAAGTGGAACATCTCTGTAAGTGGAGCACTTTTCAGAGTCCCAAGACCAACTGACTTAATGTTAGATGAACCTCTTTAAAGGCCCACTTTGAGAATTTTCAACATTTTTGGGCAAAATAAAGACTTACATTTAAATTTCATAGTATGTCCAATGTATTGATAAGAACCTTATCTTTCATTTGACACCAACAACAGCTCAAATGAACCAGATCAAAGCTTACAATAAATTATCAAAAAATATTTTCGATCCGTCAAGCTTCATATATCAAATTTTTATCAATGTCATTGAAAGATGCCGAAGTTGTTTGTATTACATGATACATTCATTTTTATAGAAGTGTCACCATCTTTTAAATCAATAGTAATTTAAAACATGTACTTTGTTTAAAATGCTTCTTTCTTTGTGAGTTATTTTTTTCTTGGTCAAATATTAAAGCAAATCAAACTTTGTGTCATATTAGAGCAAGTGTGTGAGTAACATGTTTCAATGATAATTCTTTTATTTTTTCTTCTAAATTAAGTATAGTGTGCCTTTAAGTGGAACACGTCCCAAGTGGAACACTTTTTAGAGGCACCAAATATGTTCCACTTAGACAGGTTTTACTGTACATTACATGAAAAAAACTCCAAACTGTTCTGAAGAAGAAATGGAATTCATAAATGAATATGTCAAATATAGAGTGATAGTAACTTACTGTAGCATTGGTGCCACTTGCATTCAGGTCCCACATGAGTATATGGCTATCGGCTAAAGTTATCACATTGCTATCATCATTACTAGGGTTCCATAACAAGCTACAAATCAGAAACCAAGGCTGTATTGTACATGTGTAACACAAGTTACATGACGCTCACATTAGATAAATTGAACCAATTTCACCTTCAATAATAAAATGAATGATCTAAAAATTATACCATACTGTTGCTGCCATCTTTTGAATGGAACAGTACTCGATTGATTCAATCATTTATTTGATTCGAAAATACACAAAAGACATCTATCATCAAAAGGCACCATCTATCAATTCATACAAAATACATCCATTGATATACAAAGTGGTCATCTCTAATAATTCTTTGTCACCTAATGTTAGAAAGTTGACAGACAGATTTTCTTAGAACAGGCAAACTACATGACATTACAATAACTAATATATTATACATATAAGGGGTCAGATGATTTCAAAATTTTCGATTTGGTACTGTTAAGTTTTTCAATCCCTCGGTTTGGTTTTCGATTCAGTTACTAGTATTCGGTTATTATCGCAATATCTTATTCTGCCATGGGTATCATGATCCAAAAAAACAAAATTAGCCTGTATGGTTACCATTTATTAACTGTAATCTCATGTTATAGGTCTTGAAATTTCACAAATGTATTTATTAAATTGTTGAAATAATGTGTCAGCTGAATCTGATACCTGGACGACGTCAATATCTTTCTCATCCGTCTGCATTAATATTCCGTAAAAAACTGAACCAAATGATTTTCTGATCCGAACTAACCCTCGAGGCAAATGACAGTCAGAGCTCCCCAGTTTTAGTTCACAATCTGACCCGTGATACATATAACATTTATACAATTAATAATTAAGAGTCTTTTGAATTGGATATAGCCAGAATGCTTACCATTTCATGTCGCCATAGTCAGCATTGTCAAGGTGTGAAAGAGCCTCCAGAGTATGGGCACTTGCCCCATCATCAGGGCCCTCAGGGTGGGAGCCGTCAGAGTCGGGTATACGCCATATAGCAGCATTCAACTCTGTCTTACTATCACTAGCTGCAACAGACAAAAACTAAAATAAAACAACCCAAAATCATTCCAAAAATAATTGATGACTTACTTAAAATACTTGATACTCAAAATTTCAGCAAATCAAACCTCTTGTAGTAATGTTAAAAATTATAAGAGGTCAATGCACCCCTTATAATTGTCTTGTCTTGTTTAGTATTGACCTTGCAAGTTATAAATATATATTTTTAATTTAGGATGATTTAGGGTCATAAATAAAATGAGGTATTTTCAGAAAAAATATAACATTCTGAATGATAAAAAATATAATGATCAAAAATACTGAATAGGTTAGTATTGACTTTGTTTGTTCTATTCAAATTGTGCTGACCTTTGTTATAACATGTGGCCATGATCTGCTTATCCATTGGAGATGCACTGATGTGCCACACCTCCCCCTCTGGATGAAGGAATACATGCTTGTTAATCACGTTGTTCTCATCATCAAAGTCTATGAGGTGAACCTGAAAGATTTGAAAATCCACATATTAGCTGGCTTATATCTATTCCTATTACTGAGAAAATATTTTCCAGATTTTATGAGCTAAAATGTACAGATTAGTAAGTATTTTCTTGGAAATATAAAAATGGGAACAAAAAAAGTGTTCAAATTGAGAAGTTTTCAGAAATAGAGGCTTTGCTTTACTAGATTCCCTAAAATAAAAACTCACTTGCTATATATACTGTATAGCATACAGGCCATCTATTGAAAGCACATACCATATTCTCTCTAATGAGCACACAGCTCCAATGAGCGCACATACAACTTTTATGTTGAATGTGGTCTCAAGAAAAATTGAATCAATTAGTTCTGATTGTTAACACAACAAGATATCAATTGATGATATATGCAGAGAAAGAAATAAAGGAACTGTAGAATATTTAAACCTTAAAGGGAATAACAACTAAAAAGGTTATTGGCAACCTTTTTTCTAAATTTTTTGTAGTGTGTGCCTGTTGGAATCTCTCAATATCTTACCCTTTTAAATTTCAATTTGGAAACTGACCTGGGCGCTAATTATAGAGAATACGGTATACCAAAATAATACCCATGGGCTTTTATTCCAAGGGAACTTATAACTTTTTTAGTGTGTTCAATGTAAATAAGGATTGTCTTCATGGCCTCCAGTGCACAACTTCCAGGAAAAATTATTATACATTTTTGTTTAAAATTGCAGAAGGGCAATATCAAAACTTCCAGTTTTTTCGACTGAAAATCCCAACAAGGCTAGGCCCCACATGCAAAACTAAATTTCAACCAATACCATGTAATAATGTTACCTGGTTGACATGTCTCAATGATTGTGTCCCAACCAAGAACCGTATTGCTTCTGTCTCCGCTGTCTGAGGAGTCAATGCTCGAGCCTGCAAAATAAGCCAAGAAATTATTTCATAAAATGATACATGTACAGAATCAAACCAACCAAAAAAGTCCAAATGTCATACCAAATATCCAAATATATTAAGACCAATGCCATACCAAATGTCCAAATATAGGACCATTGACATACCAAATATCCAGACATAATACCAAGGCTATTCAAAATGTCGAAAGCCCCGAGAAGGCAGATATTTGACGAAAAAGATCCAAAACAACCTCAAATAAAGGATACATATATGTGTAACAACTAGGCCAATTCCATACCACAAGTGAGAGGCACAACCAGTCTCATACCAGAAGGTCTGTCCACTACCATACCTCAAAAGTCATAAATTGGGGGGCATTCTCATACCAGATCCTAAAATTTGTGTCTATTGCCATACCAAATATCAAAAAAAATGTACCCCATGTGATCCAAGGATACCCGTCAAGGTTTATAAAGAGTGAACCCCCGGGGACACCATGAAGTATTCATTCTGTCCCAGGGTTATACAGTGGGGGACAAAAATAAAACTCAACGTTCACAAGTTGTCACAATGAGCTAATTTCCAATTTTCGTGTCTCAAACTCTCCCAAGCGGTAGAAAAATAATTCCCGTTCACTAAAGTAGCACAATAAATGAATCCAAAGCTTCATACCTGCAAATAATGTATAAATCCCTACCAAATCGAATGAATGTTTTCATGAATCGCCATGTTTGTTATCCAAGGACGGTTGACTCCCAGAATGCAACATCAGATAACCGTATTTACTCATGACAGGTTTCAAAATGGCGGAACAGCATTTTGAAAGCTGGCACGTGTCATGTTGCATTCTGGGAGCCAATCCTCCGTTCCGGCGCCATAGGGCGACAAAATCACCTCAACATTTGAAGAGTCGGCATAACATGTGAATATCCAATTCAACTTTTGAAGTTCTTATTTGTCATTAGGGACACAAATTCCACTATATTTGGACTTACTAAGACGGAGAAAATAGAGCACTGAATACACTGAGGTAAGACTTTATTACATGTGCGACAGCATTAATTTTCATAGCTTTTGCAATTCTTTATGATCCCCACCGTACCTGATTGTAACGGCTTATCCATGTTGAGGTGGAGACGCAGTACCATGATTTAATTTTACGGCTTTTTATCCTAATTATATTTCTATTGAGTTCACCCGTAGCATAATTATTAAGGCATTAACATGCAAAATGTCACCACTTGCCATTTATTAAATGTCAACCGCCGAACATCAACCGCCGAACACTCACTTGGGGATAATCATCGCTGACTGGTGAAAAGACAAAACACAGCAGTTCAAATTGAATGAAATAGTGTGAAGGAAAGTTGCGCGAAAAAAAGTTTACATGGAAGAAGTATTTGAGTTTAACTATAACTGTAGGGCTACAACTCGTCAAAGGAAAGTGTTTTTTTAATTTTTTTTGCCAAAAGAAAAATAATCTAGATCTAGTAAATGATTTTTAGTTTTGGAAAATCTGTAGGCCTATGGTTTCTCGACTCGCATTCACTGAAACTTTGCATGGATATTAATAAATATATAAAATATATAAATTTGCATAAATTACAATGTTTTCAAGCAAATTACCTGGAATTCAAGTCCATAAATAACAGGGGCATCATCTTCCATCTTCAGTTTTACGACATTTGACACGCCTACTTTTCGATTTTGAGCCTCCAGTTTGAAGAGTTTTCTTGAAAAATAAAATCGAAAAAATATTTCAGTCATTTCGTTTAATATCCACGACTTATTGCAACTAAGGTATGTATATACTGATATTTTATAACAATCGTATACTTTTCATTTCACAATTTTGTTCACAATGTGTCCCGATCCTGCAAAGCATCATCATCTTTCAGTCATTTCTAAAATCTGAGTCAAAATCAAATGAAAATCATGAAAATCAAAATGTAGTAACAAGAAAATGCAGCAAACTCCTCGAGTCGAGGTCTCCAAGTCAAAAAATGCCTGACCCTCTCATGTATCTGTTGATTATCCCTGTTTATAACTGATTCAAGAGCGTGGCACTGAACGAACCTAATATGCCTAGAGTCCATTTCACTGCCTCATTTCGTCAGTAGAACGGCAAAAATAAGAAATTGGGAGACCATTGTGCAATAATATATGGAAAAGTATATTCATAATGTACATGAATGATATTTGTATATCTTGGATTGCTTCTAGTTTGGCTTATAAAGTGTGTGGCCTCTTATATTTGGATGTTTCTCTGCCATGTTATTTTCAATAAGATTAACATGGCTGAAATTCTTCAAATTACAAGACGGCACAGGCTTATTGCACAAAAAATATACAAATGTCATTCATGTACATTATGAATATACTTTTCCATATGTTATTGCACAATGGTCTCCCAATTTCTTATTTTTGCTGTTCTACTGACGAAATGAAGCAGTGAAATGGACTCTATTTGTTATTTGTTTAGTTGTTGGTTGGTAACATGTTTATGGCATCACAAATGATGCGAAGAATCTTTAAACCAATCAGTGAAGTCTATATTAATTGTTTGTTTAGTTGTTGATGTGGCAATACGTGTCTGACGTCACGGGTGATTGCATCATATTCCAGTCATGCCATTTTACGACATTTCATAATTTTAGCTGATTTTGGCTTCATTTCACTTTATTTGAAAGAATTTTAAAAATATAATAATGAGTCAATATTTTTTTAATAAATATTAATATTTGAATTCGAGGTGAAAGTCCGAAAATTTGATCAACTGATTGAAATCACATTTTAAAGAGGTGAAGAAGTGAATAATTACAGGAGCAAACGTGATCAATGGTTCGAGGTCTCCCGCAAAGTAGTCGCTACGCTCCTACTTTGCGCTGCCTTCAGCAGAGGAGACCTCGAAACAAACAAGGCTAGGGACCTACTCACAGGCCCAAGAAGAAGATTTAAATCTCCCCCCCTATGCGAAATATACCGAGGCTACTCCAATAAATTCATAGCATCATCACAGATATATCTAAATACTAGAATTGAGGTTGATAATCGTAATTATAAAAATACAATTCTTAAAATAATGAGACTCATCGTGTATATTATAGAGGTCGCTGTAAAAGGACGTCGATTTGTCGTGATTGCAAAAGTGCTTGTTTTTTCGTCACATTTCCAATGTTATTTGCACAATTTGCTGATTTAAGAATTGGTGAGTTAATACCATAAATACGATTTAATGTCTTAACCTTGTATTGGGACTAAAGCGTAGTGAGTGGGATGAGGGTGAACCGTGTCTGTGGACCTACTACTGTATCTTGTAAGTAAGGCCTCTTCAAATACTGGTTGATCTCAAGATTGAAGTGTATATTACTGTGATTTGAGACAGCCACGTCTTTATTGCCATTGAGAGGGTGACGGAATGTCAAAGTTTGGGGTAATTTTGACACAAGAAATGTACAGAGAACTATTTGTGATGATTTGTATAATTTACTTTACTGTGTGAAGTTTAATCATCTGTTTAACATAGCTTCATTTTTCCCTATGCCTTTGTGATATTAGTGAGATTTGCATACATTGCGTATCTAAAACCTGTAAATTAAATGCATTTTCCAGATTTATGCATATGACCTTCCACATCCAGTGTTATTGTCCCCCTGTATATTTTTTATCCCATACAGGTACATAAAGCCTGTTTGTAAAAACTTATATTTTCATCAGCGGGCAGAAATAGCTTTACGTCCCGCTCCGAGCGGGCAGATATAGTATATCTGCCCGCTACGTCATAATCGCCGCTCGCATATTTGTTCATAATTTGTAATGTTCACGTAATGACTGTAAACGACAATGGAGAAAACACAGACAATCGGATCTGTTTGATGGTTTAAAAAAGGGGAGGAGCATCCACTTAATCAATCAAAAAATTGAGAAAATAAATATGGGAATATTTGAGAGAACAGAAAAATCTGCCCAAGGCCAAGAAAACAAAACTGGACATGAATATTCTAAAATATTTCCACAATTGAACAATGTGAACCAGATGACCAAGATTGGTATGGGATAAACATATTATCCTATAGTCGGTTCAGGATATTGGGATTATCCCTTGGCTAATATAATATATATGGAGAAAATTCAGACGGATCAACCTTACTCACCTTCTAAACTAACACTAAAACCCCTAGAACTGGCCCGGCAAGGTGGTAATAATAGATATTCATATTAATAGATATTCATACTATAAATGGTATAAAAAACCTTCCTATTCTTACATAGTTGACAATTCATTTTATATAACTTAAACTTTGCATTTTCAGATGTCTGAGAAGGGGTCAAATGAGGCACCTAATGTAGATAGTACCACTACTAATGATATTTTAATGGACACTACAATCAACTTGGATGATTCAGCTGAAATTTTAGATGAACCCGTTAGTGAAGAAGTCAGAAGTCCTTTAGAAAATCTGGAGGAAGATATTGATAACATTCTTCAGTCTAATTCTGAACTTGAAGAAACTAAGGGGGAAGATGACATTTTTGATGATAGCCCAACAGAGTTTACAGAAAGCAATACCACAATCAATACTCTGCAAGACATTAAGTCAGAAGAAGTAATTGTTGAACAAAGTATAGACTTAGAAAGTCCATTGGTTCCCATCAAGCCAATTGTAGAGCCAGAAATTGTTCAGGGTGTTCAAAATTTAGAACTTTCCGAAGATGACATTATTGAACAAGAAATTGAAAAATCTAATGAGTTTACTAAACAAGAGTCTCTTGAATGGCCAGTGAATAGCAATGATAAAGAGAAAGAAGAAAATATGACGGGAGTTACAGACCCAGTGATTACTGGTAGCTTAGAGGAGACAAATGGTAGGGCTAGCAATTATTTTAAAACTCATCCAGCCCCTACATCAGATGCAACTGGGGCTGATTTCTTTGACCAAATTTCACAAAGTGCCCCATCTACAGGTGAAAAGGAAGTGATTAAACCAGTAGAAACAGTTCATACTATTCCAGCAAGAAATCGAACCATTAGTGAGAACAGTCAAGAACCAACAAGCATCACATTTGATACAAGTCAAGAAGACCAAGAAAAACTAAGAAAGATTGCTTCAACAGATAGTGTGAGCAAATTCTTCAAATCAGCAGAAGCATCTAGCAGTGAAAATGACAATAAAAACTTTTTTGATACATTTGCTGGTGGAATTGGTAGTCCAACTAGTGATCTGCCAAATGAACTTGTCCGAGAGAGTCCCGATGAACTCCAAATGGACGTCACACTCCCAGCATCTCCGAGAAATGTTCCTACGACACCACCTCTACCTCCCAATGTGTCACCCCAAATGCTGAACATGCCAATGAGTTTCAGCCCGAAGTTGCCCCCTATTGGAGATAGTCATGAGACATCTGGAGCGCCCTCTATTCCCAGCCCTACTGAAGGGACAGCTCCGCAAACTCCACCCATTCAACCCTCCCCCGTGAATCCAAATGAAGATGCTAGTGCTACTCAGGTGTTCAGACAAACATCAGGAGAGGATCTTTTCTCTGCCAGTCTTCAAATGAGTAGCAGTGACAGGTATATCTATAATATAAGACTGGTTTCATTGTATTGGACAAATGAGGAATATACTTTATGGAGAGCAAATATAAAAATCTCCACTTTTAGAAGTCATTCACCATCCAGGTTTATTAATTATACATTTTCTAAATGGTTTATATTGTGCTATTTTCAAAATATTTCATTCCTCTACTATAACATAAACCAAAATTTCATACAAAAACTTTATATTTACTTTGATGAAATATTGTTAATTGTACAAGATGAAATCTATAGGAACACTTAGAAGGAGATGAATAGCACTTGTATTTGTAACTTTTTGGAACAAATTTGAAAATTCATAAAAAACAGCACATCTGTTACCTGTAGCTATGTTTAAACTTGATACACAATGAAATGGTTTTGGAAGTTGCTTTGTGTTTTAGAATGCACGATGCATGGATTCCATCTGAGGCTACACGGCAGATCTTAGTAAAGATGGTTACAAGTCCCCCTGGGTCATACATACCTGAGGAAACACTTCTAACCCGCCCTGGCCTTCTTGTTGATACCCCACAGGTAATTCTGCATCTTGATCTATCAAGGTATTATATAGAAAGACATTTAGGCTTTCAGATACTACATGTGAGAAGTGTAGTCATTGGTGGGTGTCGCCACCAGGTGGCTAATTGGGGGGAAATAACATGGCAGGGTATTACAAAGTTCCCTTAGACTCACCCCCCCCAGACTGAAAGCTGGCTATGCCCCTGTCCAGTAAAATATTTTCTTCTCAACACAAGAAAATATATTTCACTTTTTGTGATTTTACAACATGGGGTCGTTGGGGAATCTCCCCAACCTAGAAGACACACTTTCAAAGAATGGGGCTATAGAAAAGTAAAATATTTTCTTAAATACCAATTTATAGAATATTTTATTCTAATCTTTTTGGTTCTTACATATCTACAATTTATTGGTTTATTATATACCCAATATGTAACACTAATCCTGATTGGTCAATACCTAGTCACGTGTTCCGAAATAGATTTACTATTTCCCTCGGAAAGTTATATTCCCTCAAATGTGACGTCAGCGGGAATATACATTTGATCTATTGCCCGCTGACGTCACAATTGCAAGTTCTATTACCCTTGGAAACGTCTGCACATCATCACTGCGCAGACGAAAAACAGAAAAATGGAGGATGAGCACAAACACAAATCAACTCCGTTCACCATGACAGACGTGCGTGAACGATACAGTATAAGCAACGTGTATAAAGTTCCCTAAGCTCAATACGTCTGTGTAATTTCAAGTGTTATGATAATCTATTCCGCGTGTTAAACGCGATTGAATTTGTCAAGTGAGAGTCTCAGAGGCAAAAATTTCTGTTGAGCATCTGATGACGTCACAGCTTATAATGCTAACAATGGACCCGGGGAGGGGGCTTTCTAAGCCTTTTTGGCCTTCGCAGAGGAAACGGGACAAGAGTCAGTATAGGGTATATAATAAAACAAATAGTGACTGCCTAATTTCGAGCAATAGTGTAAATGATTTCCCCTTGGGAATATCCTCTACAATGTACTATTCCCGAAGCCGCAGGTAGAGGATATTCCCTCGGGGAAATAATTTACACTATTGCCCTCAATGGCAGTCACTATTTGTATATTGTTTAATTGTGCTAAAAAGAATACTTTCTTAATGTCTGTTCCAAGTAGGTCACTCTGATCTGTATGCATTTATCAAGAAATCATTTTCGAAATGCTTACAAATTAATTTTTGAGCATCCTTATAAAACTTCAATTCTGTTTTTGACAACAAATCAAGATGGAAATCATCTACATCAGTCAACTAAAAATAACTTTTACTCTTCCACATAGGTCAAGAATTTGATTGACAGCTCTATATTTGGAAGCGAAATTGATGGCTTGTGTTAAAACTCCAAGGTCAAGATGATCTGGTCACTCACTAAGACAATTTAAAAACAGAATTTTGAGTGAAATGGATCAATTCTATCTTTATATTTCTCAGTCAAAACATATTTATAGAAAAATTGACCTTCCAAACCATTCTTGTCTATCTAATATCAGTTTAAATAAGAGGTTTTAATCATAATTATTTTTTCTTAAAAAAGGTTTTTGCAGTGTTTTCGTAGGTCCTTTTTGTAAAAAAGATTCTATGGAAAGCACAATTTTCCAATCTTCACAGGTTCAGGGGTTCATTTGAATTTTTTGGTGTGATGGAATAACCAGTTTTATCTGATGATGATGGCATTGATTCAATGTTTATGTCATAAAATGAAGCATTTTTGATGAATATCAAAACTCAAAATCACAATATCACATGTCCAAGGCTCTCGTACCTATTTTATATTAATATATTAGATATTTTAGGTAGACAAAACATTTTACAGACTACTTTCTTATGTAATTACATAGGATTACAATTGTGAGCACAAGTTGCCTATAAAATGCCACATCAGTGCTATGTAAAACGTCATATCATATCTTCAAAACTCTCTATTTCTTAATAACAATTTGATGTATGGATAGCTGTTGCCGTTTGGTGATTGGTGTTTGGTGTTTGGCATCTTCAACAAAACGGCAGGTCACGTTTTGAATATTAATGCCTTATCATTTGATAGGGTGATCCAGTGAAAGAGCTAGTACGACGTCACCTTGGGGAAGAGGCTGCCAGCAAACGTCAAAGTCTCTCAGCGTCAGATGTTTCCCATGATGAAGCAGGACTACGTAAACTGATTGTAAGCTATAGAACATATTATCTAAATAATTGGTTGCAGTATTTCTTGCTTAGGTTATAGAGTAAATAATGGTTTATTCCCTATTATAACAGGTTTATGATTATGATTATTTTAAAAATTCAATTTGTATTAGCTCACGAACACATTTGCCTATTTGACTTCAAATTGCAATTTCTCGAGTTTCTCAGTATTCTTGGTTTTCAAGATACAGTATTGGCAATTTTGATGCCAAAAGTCAAATTTTGGGACCAGGATCACAGACCAGAACCAAATGTGTAAGTGTAGGTCTTAAATTATTGTTTCATAATTTCAAAGGAGGCTGGGTGTTGGAGAGAAGGCGTAGACCTCACTGGCCAATTACTCACAAACTTTGGACAGGGCATTGGCAAATGCGGAATGGAGTCACTGAACACACCCACAACCATACAGGTAAGTAAGCAATCTTGATTAGCCTAATTAATAATCTTTCATCCACCATACTTGGTTTTATTTTAAGTTTTTACAATATTTTACGTACAAATACATTTATAATATGATTATAGTTTTAATTTTTAGTGTAAAATAGTTTATTAAAGTCACACACATATAATACAATTAAAATACATAAGATAAAATACAAATCAACAAATATGTCCGGCCGTTGCCGACTTATGAGTGACTATAGGTAAATGCATCTTCTACGCCACATTTTAAAAATACATTTGCTTAAAGTTCCCGTGTAAAGTTTAAACCACTTTGGCTTATATTGTAGTCTTACCCAATGTTATCAAAGTGTGATATGTGAAACTTTTTTTTTAAATTTCAAAAAGTGGTTTTTGATAGACTTTTTGTTCCAAAATTTGTGAATTTATTTAAAACTAACTTTTAGAGGTCACATATATCTTTTAATTAGCCACAATTCATACCACTGCATAGCATTCATCCCCGCATGTTTTTTGCCGAAAAAATTAAGAAAATCAGTTCATAAATAAGCGATAAATGAACTTATCAGTGCAAGAAAATGGTTCCGAGAAAAATGCATTTCTAAATTTTAGTTCTCATAGAAACCAATGGTACAATGATATCTAAAACATAATATATTTTTCCTTTTAACCTAATTAGACAATTAACATTGATTGATTATTGAAGTCTAGCATATTGAGAAAAGATAGACATCGAAAAAAAAATTTCAATTTTTTTCAAAAAGTTTTTGGTACCTTTGTGACATCACTAATGTTTCAAAATATTTTTGATATGCTAAAACATTGAAGTGGCCCATTAAATATGGCATTTTATTATTGAAATAGTGTGTCCTTTGTTCAATCTTTGTATTGGTGTTAAAAGGATAATCTTTTTTGAAATGCATTAAGAAATATTTGATGATTAAAATTTCAACTTTTTTTGAAAAATGGCGGGAAATTTGAATATTTGAGAAATGAAATGCTCACAACTTTTTTTCCCTAAAATTTTTTTTTTCAAAAATCTCTAAAATAACTTTTTAAGTCATGACAAATAGTAAATGAATGCTTAAAAAAATATTTTCAAACTTTAGACGGGGACTTTAAGATAAACTGTTACAAGAAGTCATTATATTACAATATTGAGCTAAAGCATTAAAGGAATATTCCTTGCCAAACCATCTCTCTCCTCATATGGTAGCTATAACCATAAATATGCTTGCCATGTTTAGCAAAACACGCAAAAATGTTTTGATATGGTCAAATTTGATCACTTAGAAATGTGATGCTCAATTCCAGTAAGCTGCCATCTTTTAAAAATTTCACATAGGAAGTGATGTCATCGACTCTCAACTTTGCATATAGCATTAGGTGAGGAGCTATTAAGAATTACAAAAGCAGCTAAATATTCTTTTTCAACTTTGTATCTTATTTAATCCTTCTGAAAATCTCTTCTTTTATTCTAAGTTGACAAGCCCTGAAAATATTTTTGCACAGAAAGTAATGATCACTTGTCTAGAAGTGATTCTGTGCTACTTTCCTATACTGTTATGGGCAAGGTTATAGAAGTTGAGAGTTGATGACATCATTTCCTGCAAGAAATCTTAAAAGATGGCAGCTCACTGGAAATAAGCACTAGATTTTTAAATGATCAATATTGACCATATTAAAACATTTTCCCATGTTTTGCTAAATATGGAAACTATATATATGATTATAGCTACCATATCAAGAGAGAAAGGGTCTGGCAAGGAATATACCTTTAAACTTCAAAAACTCTTTGTCAATAACGCAGATGCGAGTAGGTAGTTACCAGTTTCGCCACCAGGTGGCTCGTTCGGGTCAGATAACATGGCGGGTATAGTAGAAAGTTCCCTTTAACTTAAATAACATCTGTTTTAGTGGTTTAATTTTTATATTACCCTTATGTATCTAATAGTTATGCAAATTAAAATATGTCCAGTAAAAGAAAATGTTATATGTCCAATACAAGAAAAGATATTTAACTTTTTGTGATTTTGTAACATGGGGTCTATGAGGAATCAACCCGAGCTAGAAGTCACATTTTCAAAAAAAATTAAATTTTCAAAGTTGATAAACAATTTTCAAAACCATATTTCTAGACGTAGTTTTACATGTAGATTTCAAATATGACATCACTTTGACTGGATTTTGAATATTTAATGACGCAAACCAAGATTGTTTCTATTCGCATCTAGTCAATTGATAACATATATTCCAAAATTTCGTTTCTTAAATTATATGTTTATATACAGCAATTATATTCAATCAAAACAAAAATCCAAACCAAAAATTGCTTGTACATTTTACTGTGCTGGGTTGAGTCAAACGAAGCATTTATCTATTAAAAGTTAGCCAAAAAATTGTGTCCACACAATGTTTATCCAATGAAGGATATTCCCAACTAAGCAATTATTTTGAAATAGGGTCAACAATGTCAGGGAATTGCTGACCTTTCAATTTCAGCCAGTTGGCTACACATTTGAGTAGCCAAACGAACAAGGCAACGAACATCCTCATTCTTGTACTCTATTACTATTGTGAATGTAAAGAAACACAATTCTTGCCCTGATGTCTGAAACTTTGGACCCCTATTCATGTCACAGTCAGCTTCTGATTCATTACTGTTCCATTTCCAACACCAAGCACAGTACTTATTTCGCGCTGGAATTTTCATAGGAGCGTTGTTTAATTTTCCGCTGAATGGGTCAAGTCCATAATATCTACACTTGTTCGTCAGATACTGTGGAGCATGCTCGGGACAAGTAGCAATACTGTTTGGCTTACAAGATCTTGGTTTCATTCCCGATGGAATTTTATGAAATATATATTTGTTTGTACAATCGATCATGAAAGAATATAACATTGAATTGCCCTCTTTTAGGTTTTTCAAGTAGTTAATATCTGAACCTGGTTTCCCACATGTTCTGTTTGTTTCCCAGAATTTCATAATTAGAACAGCACAGAACACTGACTTATAGTGTTGCCATGTAGATATGTCAGTAACAGGTATCATATCTAAATCAGTGTATTTTTCATTTATACATCTCTCTGTAGTCTCACTTTTTGCACTCTCCGGACATTTCTTAATAAGATAGAACCAGATTTTCCCATCTGTTGTCTCACAAGTCATTTTAGGTGTAATCTGGTTTTGAAACTGCTTTGATATGATCGGGCAAGTTTCATCAAAATCGGCACAGCAATCTTTGTACTTTCTACACTGGCTATCACAGCGACATAGATATCTACCCTGGTCTCCATTTTGGTCAGAATCAGAATCGCCACATCGATTTCTGCAGGTTCGCCATGTTCTGTTGCTGCATACTTCAATTGTTTCTGCCTCTGATTCTGAAATATACTCACTAATACCACCTTGTTTGATTCTACCACTTTGCATTTTTTCATCACTGGTTGGATCTTTCGAATTTTGTTTCTGCCTATGAATTTTGGCATCTGAATCTGGCTGACCATTTCCCTTATGATTCCCATCTGTTTTTGTGCTACAATGATTCTGTGAGTAGCAGAATATTATAGATAAACACAATGCCCAAACGCACTTCATGCTGAGCCTTATGTTACAATATGATCTCATGTATGTATTATTCCCATGTTTTATATAAAGAAATGTGCAACCAAATACTACATCAGTCAGGAAAGTGATATGAACAACCTTATTATCATTTCTTCTCCGATAAAAGATTGTTTCATATAAAGAAATATGAAACCAAATATTGCATCCGTTTGATGAAAATTACACTTTAGTATCTTTGAAAATAAATAACTTTTCCATCTCTATCATAGAGACATCAAGAGTAGTGTATTTAGTAATTAGAAAATCAAATACAAACATTTGAATTAATAAGTATGAAGTCTTATATTACTTTACTTTTATCTATGTCGGTAGTTACTGTACTTCTACTTAATTTGGTTCTACTTATTTTGGCCAAATTGCTGTTTTGAACATTTGGCAGATTTCTTTAAGATTTACTTTGGCGGACTTGCAATATTACAATGTACTAATGGTATAATATTACATGGTACTGAAATTACTGGGGTATTCGGCAGCTACTTATTTTGGGTGACTTAAACAATTTTGCGGATCCGCCAAATAAAAACAGCCATCAAATTAAGTAAAACTACAGTATGCCTTTCATGTTTTTTTGTAGAAAGTAGTTTTGATTTCAGAGATGTTAATTGTCATGTATATTGTCAGTAGATCAAAGTTTAACTTGACAGCCTTTGATAAGGTTTTCGAACATTCCCATATAGTAACTGTCAGGATCTTAGGAATTTACCTTCCAATTAATTCATTTGATTTTATATTGGCTTTCAAGATATGATATGAAATCTCTTCAAGTTATCTCATTTTTATAATCATTTTGGATTGTATTATTCATTGACATTTTCCTATTCTATCAGAACATCCAAAAAGTTTCCCATTTCTTTATTTTTAGTTTTTTCTGCAACTTTTGGATTGCCATATCTTTTCAAAGATTCAAAGTGATTTTAGATCACACTTTTAAAGTTTCTGTTATCATTAATTTGAATTCATTACAAATGCATATTTTGGCAACTAAAAGCAGGAGGGGGATACATATATGTTTACCTTTACATGGTCTTATATAATGTAAAATATGTAAAATCAAACATAAAAAGATATATCAGGAATGAAATGGGTGAATAAGACGACTGTGGAGAGAAGGTTTAATCATGATAAGTGGTACTATAGGAGAAATCCAAGATGTTTCATAATGGGTCTTGGGTCAATGCAGAAATCATATTTAAAAAATATTTTTGCTGTTGATGTAATTTTGTAAAACTTAAAATAATACACAATACATACAAGCGAAATTGAATCTGGAAATTCTTTTTGCCAGGAAATGTCAGGGAATTTTGTTTTGAAAAAAGTGTAGGAACCCTACAAGGTTACTTTGGTTGCACTCACATCCAGTCTTCAGTATCATATTTTTT